TTCTGTTGGATCACTCTTCTCCTCAATCACAGGCAGGGGTGCTTCCAGCATGCCTGGAACTTTGTCTGCTTTATTCTTGCTCCATGGTGAATGCAAAATCGACAAAATCACATCCTTTCTCCAAGCATTGGTACATCGTCGAACTGAACGAGTTGTAAACCGACCATTTGCTGTGACCACAACATTCATGTCACTTGTGGACTCTTTGCCAACCCAAACTCCTCCAAGCCATATGTTCATACCTGATTTCTTGGAAGGCTTCTTGAGTCCAAACACGAATTCACCAAATGGAATCAACTTGCCATTGTATTTCTTGCCAAACACTGTCTCGTAGGCGGTTGCACGAATGCCTGAATGCTCATGGAACCTGTTCAGCAAAAACACACTGTGTGTAAGCGCCCAAGCTCGAAGGCTATGGTGTTCTGGCAATGTCTCATGGATCTTGTCTTCAACACTCACCACCAATGAACTTGCTTGACGTTTGACAGTTTGTATGTACCGTTCAACTTTTGCTGTTCTTCCCTTGTGATATGGTTTGCCGTGTTGCTTGCTTGCTTTGAAACCCATCTCTTGTCTTACGGCAACAATCATGTCAAGAAGTCCTAATGTCGCAGGCTCTGAGTCCATCACGAAGCAAACCTCGTTCGTGTAGTTCAACTCCAACGAAAACTTCACAACAAATTCTGCCACTGACCTCCAAACACCTTTTGACCTTGTAGGACAAACAGCACCGTACCTTGTATCTGAATCGATCATCACCAATGAAGGGCACTGCTGTCCAAGAAACATCCAATCAAGCTGAATATGTGGAATCCCTGTCTGCTCTCTTTCCAAGTCTGCATTGTGAACTGTTGGATCATCCCTCGACTTGGTTCGAACACAAACATCACACCAGCTTGCGAAAGGAAGATGCGTCACTTCATGCTGTTCGACTTCCAATGGATTGGAAGGCATTTCAGATGCCTTTCCTTGTGTCTTCGGTTGAGGTCCAAGCATCTGTTGCTCAATGTTCTTCGAAATCACACCAATGTCCTTTTGGTATTGCACCTCAACATATTTGGTCAACCTGTCATAGAGTTTCTTCTTTGCACCACTTGCGTTCAAACCCAAATAGTTGCATGCATCTTGCAAATCACGGACACGACTTTCGATGGTCAACTCCTTTCCGTTCACCCAAACCGACTCTGGCAACGGAATATGTCCTCCTGCGAAACTGCGGGGCTCAACAACTGGGGCATGTACCAACTCCATAGGTACCTGAGGCTCACTCGGGAAAATGTCTTGATCTGGCTTGTCACTTGGCAGTTCAATGTCAGCAACCTGGTCATCTGTCAACGGATGACATGAACATGAACTCAAAGGCTCAGCACGACGCTGTGGAAATGTCAAGATTGTTGTTGCAAACAAAAGGCCTGAAATCGAAGCTTCAATGTCCTCCAATTTCGACAACTCCTGAGAATGTTCAATGACTTCCCAAACCTGGCCAACCAAGACAATCGTAGTCCTGAACCGCCAAACATTGCGAGACAATGCACTTCCTGGATCAACAAAATTTGTTCCCTCATACCGATGAACTGGATTGCCGTTTTCAAGAAATTGCCAGCCGTTGCGCAATGTTGAAGGATCAATGTCAAACTTCACAAATGCACCTCGAACCGCTCCTGTAGGCAAAAACTGTCTTTCAGTCTGGTCTTCTGTCGACTCATTCCCAGCTACTCTATGAACTCTTGCCAAAATGCTCAAACTGTTCTTCCTGTAATAGACCGGGACTCTACACTGTCCATCAGGTGTCCTCAGCACACCCGCACAAGGGCCGAAACCCATCTGATCGATCAACATCTGATCATCGTCGCCTGCTTCTCCAAATTGCCAACCTATCTTCAACAAGCGGCCGAAGGAAAGGAGAATGTTTGTCACATCCGAAACAATGAATGACTCTGTAACACTACAGCCTTGATCGCTCTCCAACACATGCTCGAACTCTAGCTCTGCTTGCCTCATTCCACCAACCCTCAACTTCTGTCCTTGAGCGTCCTCCAAATGAAGATTCGGTGTTCCTGAATCCACACCTGCTGAACCATGGCTGAAAGGAAGCAATGAAACATCGGCTCCTGAATCAAGAACAATCCATTGTGCTTCCTGTTGGGATGTTTGCTCAACCATTCGTACATGAAATGTACTGCAATCACTCTGGGCTTCTGACACCTGGCACTCATCCATACACAACCATCGATAGAACGAATCGTCTGTCAACAGAAGTGCGTCTGTCTGCATCTCATCTTCTTCAAACATCTCAAAGCATTCACACTGCTCTGAGGTTTTGACCATGCTCACACGACCAGTCAACATAGACCAATCATCAACCGACGAAGCTTCGGAAAGCGCATATTGCTCTGGAAAGTCTTCTGGAGGCGTTGCCACATGATACATGTAGACTCTTCTCACCTGTCGTGACGTAGTTGAAGCTGCTGTGCTCCCAACCGAACTGTATGCTGTTCCGCCGCTAGAAGGAACCCTGGCAGCGTCTGCTCCTGGAGGAACCTGTTCCTGTCGAACCTCTCTGACATCATTCTTGTGAGGACATTCATTTCCCCAATGCCCCCAACCATTGCAAATCCGGCACCGATCCGGACTTTGGCCTTTTCCTTTCGACTTCCCTTTCTTTCCACCTCCTTTGTATTTGCCTTTGGACTTTCCTTTCGACTTGCTCTTTCCTTTGCTCTTGCCTTTTGATTTTCCACCACCTTTCCAACCAGCAGAGAGCCACTGACTGAACCAACCGCCCTTCTGCTTACCTTTTTGCTTTCCCTTGCCTTTCTCATAGCCCTTACCTTTGGTGACTGCATCAACTTCCATGGGAACTGGGCCTGAATCTGCCTTCGACGAACTTGCAACCTGTTTGCCAACTGTCTTGAGGACGTCATTCACATTCCACATTCGACTGCTCCTTTCATAAGCAAAAATCCGCTCTTTCACCTCTTGATATGACGAAGAATCTGAAATCGCCAATGTGAGATGCTGTCGAATGTTGTCTGGGCACAACCGTAGCAAAACTCCCAACAAAACATCTCTGTCGAAAGCTTTGGAACTGAGTGAATCATATTGTTGAACCAATGTCTCCACGCCGCTCACATGCTCTTGCAAAGTCTTGTCACCACCTGGAACAAACTGAGGAAAAGACGAAATCGCCTGGCTCAGGGACAGCGCCCTTTGACGGGTTGCTGGAGCATAGTAGTCAACCAGTTTCTTCCACAACACGAACCCGTTTCGATTCTCAGCTTCTGATCTGGATAGGTGCAATGCAGAGCCACGTAGGTAGCTAGTGAGTATACTGTATAGTTTCCTTGCTAGGTCCCAATCATTGTCTGACCAATCTGCTGTTTCAACTGCATCTGAAGGCGTCAACTTTTCAATGTCCTGTATCGATGCTAGAAACCTGCCATCAGCATAGCTCAACCAATTCAAGAAACTGTGTCGCCACGTGTTCCAAGTTGTTTCAGATGTCGGATCAAATTGTTCTGGTGATTTCAAGATCCGAGCTGCCGACTCCAAACCTTTGGCTGTTGTCGCTGAAGAGCTTGCTGAAAGGGACTCTGTAATACCACGTACAATGACATCTTGCTTTTGCAACAATGTACCAAATCCTGTCATGAACTGCCTGAACTGCTCACCATCCATTGCATTGCAACTGTGCCCACAACTCATCAAAATGAGAAAACTCAAACCACGAAATTGAAGTCTTTGTTCAAATCGTTTCTTCCTTTTCAACCCTGATGTCTTCTTCTTCAGCTGAACTCCTTTCTTCCGTTTTCGACATCTCAGGCTCAAGCGCATTTGAAGCGTGCGAACTAAAAAGGCCACAAGAGAAGACACCAAAAGAACTGCTCTAAAGCTGTTGAACTCCGGTTGAATGCAAACTGCATACACAACACCAAGACAACGTTCCAATTGGGCTCCCACCAACAATGTCCTTGTCCATTGCACCACCACCAATGCTGTCCATATCAAATGATATTCAATGCACAACTTCGAATCTACCCAAAACTCTTGCAGATCTTCAACAATTGATTCGAACTCACCTGAAAGTGCAAAGAATCGGATGAAAATGGCTTCCAACACGAAGCAGAAAAGGAGTGTCCTCAGACCTCCCAGAACATCCATGCGCGCCCGGGGATTCCGCTAAGCGTCACGATAGCGCTATTGCCCCTTCAGCACCTCCCCCGGGTCTTTGCCCGGGATCTTCAGTGCTCCGCTACCATGTTTGGTAGCACGCTTGTTTTGATCCACGCGCTTCGGTAGCGGAGTAGTTTTCAACTAGCAAACAGTGTACTAACTTGACTGTACATGTCTGTACCTAAACCATTGAAAAAGGCCAACACCAAACCAGCATGTCAACTGGAAACAAAATGTTGTCCAACACATAGCCCGTAGACCATCGCGCTAGGTCCCCCACACTCATCTTGCGAAAAGGAACACAGCGGGCCATGAAGGGTCTCATAATACAACAAGCTGCCCGAAACAAACCTTTGCAGGCACAGGCCACTAATAAAGTGACGCTTCCAAAAACCAATGCTACTGTGCCTTCTGAAACCTGCTTCAAGCTTATTAGTGCTCATATCGCAGAATCACAAAAGAACAAGAATGCCCAAACAAAAGGTTTCTGACATTGACTCACAAAAAGAGAGCTTGGCACTGTTTCCACACAGGTGTATGCAACAGGCAATCTGCCCTGTTGCCTGTGGCTGATCTGCAATATTCCCCCCTTCCATGTTATATATGTCTCATTTGCTTCTGCAAAGCATATTGCACATCAGTCAGTCAACGACGATGCGAAGTAGTCCACTCCTCTGAAAATGCGGACCCGACCCTTGTTTTTTCGGCCTGACGAGCCAAACATAGAACACTGCTGGCAGATTCTAGTTAGGCTTCAAAAATCGGGACATCACCAGTGGTGATGGGCACATGCATTGCCCTTGAGGCACATGCATTGCCCTCATTACCTAAGAGCTGGTAATCTCAGACGACTCACACGACTGATCTACATCGTACAAGATTGGTGGCTCCCCACTCCGATCGGCCAGGAGGAACGTTCGGGCCTCGTAGGTCTGTACCACTGCGCTCTGCGGCCAGCGGCGCACCCAAATGGCAGTCAAAATAACTGACAGAAGTGACCTGCATCAGCATCAGCATTGTGCTGTGCATCGTTGCAGGCACATGACATTTTTCTGGAAAATACAACAATGGGAAAACTGCCAGCATGCTGCCAAGGAACGTGTACCCACCAAGTTGGGCTAGCAAAAATGCAATCTGTGGGCAGCGGCCAATCTCCACCTCTTCCACCACATGCGGTGAAGCCACTTTTAAATCCACGTCATAGCGCGAAATGCCATCCCTGTCCTTCAGTCCAGGGTATTGAAACTCCAGTTGGGTACTGTAGGTGTCAATGAGCTTTGGGTACAGGACGGACGCTAGACTCTCATAGAAGTGTCGCTCTTTGATCTCCCCCCAGAAGTTTCTTGACATGTTCTTCAGAGCAGGGTTCGTGGACACTCGTATTCTTCCTTCTCGTCTTTGTTTAAGCACTGCCACTGTTGTGCCTGGCACAAAACCTGTTAGAACACGAAGGTCAGGTGGCGGACGACTTGACATCGCCCACAAGGTGATGGGTTCTTGCTTCTCCGCAAAAAGCTTGAACCTGATTTCAGGAGGCGCGCCCATCCGATCATTTGACCACTTCGGCCTGAGCATTGTGGCATTGATTGCCATGCAACGCAGAGATCCAAGATCTACGTTGAAAATGCTGGTGAGCCTTTCAACGTCCTCGCGGCCATCCAAGCTGCACCATGTCCTGTTTGGGGTGCACTGCCTGGTCTCATTTTGTGGCAGCTTCGTCCCGGCATGGACTTGTAGAAGCGATCCGAACGAACAATCACAGACGAGTGGCCGCATCAACCCCTCAGCGCTGCACAACAGGAAATACGGCCACGCACCCCAATCTGCTGACATCGAGGTCTGTAAGGAGGGCAGGTCAGAATTGTAGATGCTGTAGCCCTTCCACATCACATAGGCGGTCGGCACAAGGTACAGGCAAAGAACAGACACCCAAGCGCACACTCGGTACCTTCTCTCAACATTATCCGGCAAGAAAGTAGCCATGGCAATCAAGTCAAACCCACAAACGGTCCCAAGACCGTTTTTTGCCAACGAATGCGTCTCCGAAACCAGGCTTTTTGTGGGAATGGGTCTCCAGCTGTGACGCTTGGGGCGGGTGAGAATCAGATCCTCGCACTGTCCAGCTGTCATGTTGGAAGGGCAATTTGGAAGGGCTGTGCAAAGCGTTTGACTGTGGGCGCTGGCTTTCCCTGCAGCGCTTTCCCCTGAAACGGTTGCCTCCAGCGTTTTGACCTGGACACCTGGAGCCCTTGGAAGGCCACGCAACTAGAAAGGAAAGGTGTTGGCACACTGCTCCTACGGTGGATCAAAGGACACTGATCAAGCGGCTAGCCAAGGTCTCTTGCTGTTGGCACCGATCAGAGTAAAACCACTGGTGTCAAAAGATAAAACCAAATGTTTCGTCTTTCGCCCGCAATCCGTTACAGCTGCAGCTGGTTTCAGCCGCGTCCGGGTCCATCCTCACGCATGAGGGACCTCGGCGTGTTCAGTTGAAAAAGGTGAGTGAGGTCGGTGTCTTAGCAGAAGGGTCGATGCGGTCGGTGTGTTCAGTTTCTGTTCCCAGAGAAACTCGGACCGATTTTTCCGCCTTCTCTTTGCGCTCTTTGAGCCCTTTCAGAGCCTCGGTAATCGGACGACTGTCGGAAAACCGCGAACTTCAGCAAAGCGCTTGGAGATCTTCGAGATAGTCAACAAAGAGAGGAAGGAAAAAGAAACAAAACAAGGTGAGCCCGCGGACCCAAAAGCAGCGCGCAACAGGTCTTTTAGCCTCCGTTACCCACGGCAAAGCACCCTCAAGCACACTCAAAACAAGACGGTTCCCTTTTTAGTCGGGTTGGAGGTTGGATGTATCTCTATAATTCTCTCTATATATATATATAGTCCCCCGTCCACACCCACGCGCCTCCCGTCTCGCGCCCCTTTCCTTCCTTCCACAACCCCGTCCACACCCATGCACCTTCCCACACGAAGCCAGTTTCAGAAGCTCCGCCTGCCCAGTCACTCCGTT